CTACGATCGCAGGCCGAACGCGTTAACTACCTGCGCCATCGAGCTCCTTGCTAATTGCTTGCTTGCTCCTGTATGTTGTACCTGAAGAGGTAATAGAGCCGGAATCTGTCGTTACTTTTTCTTTATTATCGCCTTTATGTTAATGATGACCCCCTCGAGGTTTCCCGGTGAGTGCTAGTATTTTGCTCCGGTATTCTGCAAACGATTTTTTATCACATCTCCACGCAACTTCGGCTGAGACACCTTAACGTGACAACATAATAGCGCCGCATGTGCTAAAATTCTAAGTTGGACGAGAAAATCTAATCATAACATACCTACAAAATTACACCTTAACCTTGTAATCTGTAACCTAAACCTGAAAAAACTAGTCAGTTTCACGTTTCAAAGCACACGCTTACGTCAAAACCTTTTTTCAAAGCGGCGCAACTCAATCAGAATGATAGCGCAAATTTTCAGGGACCTGATAAAAAAACCGTGCGAAATACGACGTTGGATGAAATGGACGTGACAAGGCGGGATTGCGGGACGATCACGCGGCGATGGGTTTTTTTCCAAACCATTCGTGTTTTAGTTCTTTCAAAAATACTGATGACAGACATTTTTTTTATTTGTTTTCATCGCTCGTAGTTTATAAAAGTTACAGTGTAATGGTACTGTTATTTTATTCAAATACAAAGATGATATAAATCTGTTCAATACTAACATAATTAATAAAAACAACAGTTTACTCTAACCTAATACGATATTTTTATTATTATGCTCAATGTAAATCATCTTCAGTGCGTAGAATACTTTACCAGAACTTCATCAATATTATCTTTATATATATTTTATTAGTAACAAAGGAAATATTGATATTTGCTCTGAAATTATAAAAAATAATTATATGGTAAAATACTTTCTTCTTATGTTATAGGAGCACCTATAAATGAATACCTCATATTTTGATTTAATCAAGTGACGTCAAAACTCGATGAAAGTTTTCTGCGTGTCATTCATACGCAATGTGTTGAGCTCCCGCCCTCAACGCATGTAAATCTTTAATATGGACATTTTCAACGCAAAGGTCTATTCAGGAAGGTAACGTAGGTATACATAGTCTATTACGGCGTCAACATACAACGATAACATAAGTACATAACTATCCCTTATAATAATGTTTAGATCAAATACATGGTCGGTTTTAAAAAACTTTGATAGAAAAAAACACAAATTTTGATATTTTTCATGACGAATCCTCTGTTACTGTTAGAGAAGTTTAATCACGAGTCTCCAGCCGCAGTTGGAGATAAAATCAACTCTCATTACTTGTGATTATGAAACAATTCCGCCCTCTGTAGTAACATCTGTGTCGGTTGAACGACTGCCAACAACTTCAGATGTCTCTTCATAATAATCGCTCGTTCATTTTTCTGTACGACAGTACTACTGGAATTCGATGTAAACTCACCAATTTTTGGTATTATTTGTTTTCGTGCTCTTTGTTATTATAAAAACGTTTTGTGACTTTTGAAGTTGTCCTCTTATTTTTTTTAAGATCAACTTAAAAAGAAGGCATGAAAGTAAAGTAAATTATTGCTACTGGAAACCCATTAAAAAGAGAGCCATATTCAATTTCATGTGAACCATAATAAACAATGTGATATGTCGACAATTCACCCAACAAATTAATGGTGCGGTTACCCCATAAATCCAGCGTAACGTAAGGGCAAAGAATTTATGTGTTCTGAGCGCAGTCCAGTCGAAACATCGTGTAACAGATTCTGGTAATAAAAATCTAGAAGCAGTTCCCTCAACAACCTTTTATCTCGCAATTATTAAATCAATTTAAAATTATATTTATAATAGAGATCTGCCTTCGGTACATTTAATCATTATCATCATCATCAGCCTATTAATGTCCCCACTGCTGGGGCACAGGCCTTCCCTATGGAAGGAATAGGGAGTTTGGGCCATGACCCACCACGCGGGCCCAGTGCGGATTGGCGGACGCTAAGGACTGCAGATGAAGCCTGGACCAACGGCTTAACGTGCCTTCCGAAGCATGGTGGAACTTGAGATAGAAAATTTTTGGTCACCCATCCACTTGTGCCATCGCGCTCCTCTTACATTAAAGGGACATATTAAATGTACATCGGTATATTTAATATGTCCCTTTAATTTTTTACCTCTTAAAATTCCTTTAAAGTTAATGTGTACTACTGGTTCATTGTTCGACATCTGACCCTTCTGGATCACATACACTGTATTCATTTCATACCCTTATTTTTATCCGAGTTTTTTATCATATACCTATATAGTTAAATAAGGATGTTTTATATATAAATTGGCAAAACAAAAAAAAAATATATAATAAGCAAAATGTAAATAATATATATAATCTCTCGGTTTCGAACTCTTGTACTTAAAGGAGCGTTTGTTGCATTAGATCAAGCCACCAATAACGAATTTATAATAAAGTATTAATATGTATACAGCGGTCTCGATAACGGTGTCGCGAGTAGTTTGGTTTTTTTCATATCAAAAAATACCCAACGTGCCTAAAGAAGTTTTTAATTTAAAAAAAGTAAGAAAAATACTTAAACATACAATTTGTTTTACATTTGAAATTTGCTGGACCGCTTAACCTCATCGGTCCCAGCGGGCTTGCTTACATTTTATTTTATTTTGGTGGGTTTAAAGAAAAGGTTACTTGAGAAAAAAAAATGTAGACATCGTGTTACTTTTAAAGTGCTTAAGGCTTAACTTTCAGTAATTCAATTGAATAAATTGTTATAGACCAATTATATGTAATTCATCTTCATTCACTCTTCATTAGTTGAAGACAAGTATAAGATTTCATAGTTTGCAACTGCAATTGTTTATTATACTTATATTAAATAATTATTTATCCAAAGAATTTGCTTGTTAACCTTGATTGTAAGGTAAAACTTACGAGCGTCAAAAATCACCATTTTTGTTTTTTTTTAATCTTTGCGACCGACACTACTCGCACAATTTCTTTACTTAATACTTACTTCATTTACTCACTCCGGTCTACAAATGCAATTAGAGTCCAACAAAAGTTTCTATGTGAGTTTTGGCTAGGATCCAATAGTTTCAATCGTGAATTCCATTCCAGAACTTCGGCACTCTAACTGGTTTATTGCCCTTAATTTCGCTTAGTAACGTGATGAGAAAAACAACAAGTCATTCATTAGCTAATTTTTTGGTTGAAGAAAGACTTTAAGGTTTATTATTATCTCTCATGATCTGATAGGTCTCGATTACAAAATGATGTATTTTTTTGTTTGATTAATCTAATACGAAAAATTATAGAGTGAGTTCTCATTTCAAACTCTGACGCAACTCAATAATTGTATTTATTGATTTTAAATTCTGATTTCAATTAAGTAAATCTCATATCAACACTCACAAGACATAATATGTCTTGAACTAGACTTTATATCTCATGGTATTGTAGTACGAGAGCCCACGACACTAAATCTAGTTCGAAAAATCTCCCAGATGATAAAATATAAATTACTAGCTGACTCGGCGAACTTCGTACCGCCCAAAAGTAATAATTTGCAATAAATTAAAATTGCGATTATAATTTGAGATTTAAACTATCCTATCTCTCAAGTTGGATCGAACTGCACATGGTGTGCGAATTTTATTATAATCGGTTCAGTGGTTTAGGAGTCCATTGAGGACCAACATTGTGACACGAGATTTATATATATTAAGATTAGTTACGTCATTAATAAATGAAGAAACTGTAATGCGAAAACCTGGCAGCGCCTTTAAAAAAATATCCAATTTCTAGTATGATATGACTTCCTGTTTGGTTTGATCCTCCAAAGAGGGGAGGGGGAGGGGAAACTGAGTTCTGATTACATGGCAGGGTAACGTAAATTAAAGATTTATAACATCTGTGGCGATTTCTCAGATAGAAGCTGACATTAGGATTGCAACAAATAGAAAATTTATTAATATCAGTTTACATAAACAATATTGATAAAATAATATTTCACTAGAGCTTTGGCCGAAACAAGATGTTACTCTTCCTAAGGTTAATTACAAAAATCTCATACATACCTGATAAAATCGTATGGTGTTACTACTTTAGTGGCATATTTCAAAAAAATAATGACAATAAGTTTAATTCAAGTTTCAAATTGTGTTTTCCTGTTGAAATGACCTTTGTTTCCTGGATTTTATACAAGTTTAAGCGAAGCGGTGGTGAAACTCAACGCTTGTTTCCTTTGAATATTCCTAATCCCTTCCTCGCTGAGAGACACCTTCCACCTCTGAGACTCATGCTTATGTGGAATCACACATGAACCGCTTAGCTGCCTCACGTTGGAATAAATTAACATGATGATGAAAAATGTTTTAACTTCGAAATTTTGGACACTTCTTTAATTTAGTTTTTGACTTGTAAAGCAACTGGATCATTGTGCAGGTCTTTTTGTTTCCTGATCTATAAGTAGAATAACTAATGTCCCATTGATGAAAAACATGGTAATAACAAATATTATAGGTATTACAAATTATGGTTTTCTAAGAGAAATCGGCTCGGAAAAATTACGCAAGCAATTCATTCAAAAAAATATAAAAAATGTTAATATGTTCCATTGAGGTATTCCTATTATCCAACACTAGTATGTGTATAACAATGTGTATATGCAGACAAGTGTTTTCCTTGTTTATAATACAGGTTTCTGTTACAGCAAAGTTATAAGTGAAACTCAAATTATATTTTTGATGTAAAATTACCTATCAATTTCATTCCGTCGAAGTACAAAGTATACATTAGATAAAAAAAAGTTATTAATAGTTATAAAAAAGTGAACTAAACCAAAACAATGTGTTAATAATAATAATAGTGATAAAATGACTTTACTGACGATTGTGAAAACAGAACATATTTGTGTCATAAGTGTTAACTTTAAAACGATATGGGATGACTCATAGTGAAAGATGTTACGTGCAACCCACTTTCCGATCAGAAGATGATGCGCGATATACACGACAATGCCGGGGCAGGTGCAGGCGGCGCGATGGAGGAAAACGAGGGCGTCGGGAGTGGGGCTGCAGAGGTCGATATGGACGAGTGTGGCTCCCTCGCGCTGCCGCCAGACCTGCCCCCCTATTCCGGTGACTACATCATCAGTGACTACATGGAGCGCCTCGGCACGCGTCTCAACATACTCGAAACGGAACTCAAATATGCTTGGCGAGCACTCGACCTACTCAGCCAAGAATACGTAAGAATGTGGGAGCGACTCGAAAGATTAGAAGCGCTACTGGCCGATCAACAGGGTGTGATTTCAACATTATTAGACTTTTACGCATGTCGCACTGTCACCTCTAGAGATCCAATGACGCGACTCGAAGTTATAAGAGAAATATTAGGAAATGGTACTGTTGAAGATGGTATTGAAGAAGGCTTGGATATAGGCAGAAGTTCTGTTCTGTTAGATCCCCAAGAGGAAATTATGGAATCAAATGAGGCCTTTTACAAAAGTTTGAATCAGGCTTACAGAGACGATTTAGTGTGTGATGAAACATCAAGGCCACCTTCACAATTAGACATGATTTGGGAAGCTCCAGAAGAACCTGAACTAGAAATAATACCCTCAAGTTCAAGACAAATTTATAGTGCAACAGATTATAAAGATTATTGTGGATTACAGGGCGGACCTGGTATTAGCGAAAGAGATTTGGTACATTTATCTACATTAAGTACAATAGATCAAATCACTGTAGATAAACTTCATGAATTAGATAGGTTTGCAACCCAATTACACAAAGATTCGAGAGAGTTAAAAGACTTGAAAACTAGACTCCTTAGTCCCGAAACAAAAAAGACATCTAAACATGATCGTGACATAGAAGCAAAAACACTAGTTGAAGATGGTAATATAATAAATGAACAATTAAAAAGTGTTTATTCCGGCGAAGAAAACTGGGCAATAAATGACATGATGAAAAGCTTTGACGACTTTATGTTAACCATGCCTAAGGAAAATATAGTGAGAGAAAAATCGCCATCAAGAGTATCCCGTAACGATGGTAGCGTCCCCGATAGAACGATCGATTACCTGCCTCCGACTCTTTCACCTCGAAGGAAATTTGTCCCAGAACGTACAACTACGGAACCTTATACAACTGTGACTGGACGCTTGGCATATAGTTCGGCAGTAGCAAATGCAGAAATAAATGCAGCAAAAGCATCCAAATCGCCTAGTGCACTATCACGTGAGAGATTTGAATATAGTCCATCTTACCAGGTAGGCGATAGTTCTAGACCAACTTATTACACAAATAAAGGAATGACGCAACAACAGATAAATGAAGTATATAAAACTGGCACAGAGCAACACTCTCCAGTGTCAATTCATGAAATTTATAATGGCAGTGCTGACAATAGACTAGAATTGAGCTTTGAGGAAAATAGATTACGTAAATCTCCCAGTCCACCACCTCCGGCGCCTCCTAATGGTGCTGATTTATTTTCTGTAATTGAAAACAATAACGATGATGTCGGGCCTAGTCATACGGGAATGCTTTCTACTATACCCGCTGATGGAATGCGATTAAGTCCTCGATCACCTAAATCTCCGAAAACATCGCCTAAACATGTGAAAAGAGATACATCTAATATAGTAGCCGCAAAATCTGATTCTGGTTTGTCTTCAATGAGTGGCTGGTCCAGTTTAGAAAAAAGCCCTGGTTCTCCTAAAACTGGTAGGAGTGGTCACGGCAGTCATGATTCCCACAGAATAAAGATTTCTTCTCCTCAGTCGATACAAAGATTATCATATGAAGGCGATCCGAAACCATATTTAGAAACGCTGGTAGATTCTTATCTTTATGAAGGAAGAAGTGGAAAAAGCGATTATAATATGCGAAATCCTGATTTACTTACTAAAGATATTAGCTCAAGAGATCTTAATAAAATGCAGGGAAAAATCGATAGTTCTTTTTTATTAAAAAATGATGCTCCATTTTCAATGGCAGGTCAAACTAGTCACATAAGTAGTATGAATGAATATTATTATGGAAATGAAGCTCCTTCAATATATTCGTTAGCGGGAAATAGACAACCAATATTCACTACTGTGTATAGTACACCGCGAGGAATGTTATCTGAAGATAGGAGTTTTTCCGAATTATTAGATAGAAATGAAATTGTTGAATCTGTTGCACGACCATCAATAGACCCATACCCTCCAGAACCAAGCTACCATGCTCAAACAGTGGTCATGCCAGCAAATTCAAAAAGATCTACTACTAGAGCTAACACGGTAGGTTCAAATGACTCTAATTTTTACCAAAACGGTTACAAAGGCAATGGTAGAGGGGGTTATCCACCGAGTAATCTTACCGATGCCTTGTCCTACTATCCTACATCTACAAGATATGAATCTCCCAAAAGAACTTCTTTGGAAGATCAACTTTCCTGGCAAGGAGGAAGCAGATCTCCAACGAGTTCAATGGAAACATCTAGTTTAAAATCGCATTCATTGAGTATAACTGAGAGAAAGCAGTTTCAAAATCAATTACAACAAGAGTATTTTAAACAACAACAATACGACCAAAGAAATGGAAACATCATGTATGATAATGAAGGATTTGAAAAACAAATGATGCCAGAAAATTCAAAAATAAGAAAAGATCAATACGTAGACTCTAGTGGTGTTTTAGTGTCAGAATCTGGATATTTATCTATATCCAGTAATCTTAAAGTAAAAAGCCAAGATAAGCAAGGAAAAAAGCCAAAAAGAACTTCTTCTTTGAAGTCTGCAATGTCTACCGTGAGTCATTGGTTGCCCGATCTACATCTTCCAAAAAAACATAGGTCTAATTCATTGCCTTCTGGAGTCGATACAGTTGAGCAACCTCCACAAGAAAAATCTCTAAAGGAACGAATACTATCAGCTCAACGGCGAAAAAAGAAGTATCACTTGGTAGCCTCTATGTCTGGCCTTTTACAAAAAGCAAGGAGGAAACACCAAGTAAGTCATCAATCTCTATCAGACCCAGAAACTTCAGAAACTGAATGGTCTGGAGGTAGATCTAGTGCTCAGTCGGAAGATAGCGATAGTGTTTTTTCGGATTCTGCACATGAAAATAACCTATTTGCAAAAGTTCCTTTGAAACCTAAGCAAAGAAAAATCAATAATCAAGAAATTGTCGAACAACAGCAACTTATTCAGGAATTGCAACAACAAACTAGAGAGCCTCATCGAGAAGAAGACAATGAGTCCATATTAGAAGAAACAGAAAAATATACAATACCACGAGATAAAAGTGATGATATTGATTTTCATTTCGCGCGTGTAAGTCAAATGAACAAAGATAATATCTCTGAACTAGAGAAACTAGATATTGATACTGATATTTCAAATGTCGATTTATTTGAAGAAGAAGAAAAAGAGGACAACCAGTCCCCAGCATCGCTTTTTGCCACGATTGGTGATGTCAAGAAAGCAAATATCGTATCTGATGAAGGCCTAAATGAAAATAACAAATCATATAGTGGTAGTTCACAAGAGTTCGCAGTATCAAGAGCATTAGGAAAATACCGATTGAGAAAGTCGACTTCTATATCCGATGAACATGTAGATGAAAATATTTCTCCTCCCAAATTAGAAACAGAGTCACTTGATACACTTGACACACATGAACAATACCCAAGTCAGATTGAAAAACGTCCACGAAATCAAAGTACACCTGAAATTATAAGTACAACCGTACCAGAAGAAACCATCACATATCCCGAAAGAAGTCCTTCTATTCAAAGTACTCGTGGTATTACAAATAAGTTTCTACCACGACATCAACAAAGTTTGGAAATACCAAATAAACATGATGACGATGATAGCAGAAGTACACATTCATGGAGAAGTGGTTCTCGTGTGTCTTCGAGACGGCAAAGTACTGAAGATAGCATAGACTCTGAAGATGAATGGTATTGTTATGAATTGAGGAAATTAGAAGAAATGGAACATCAATCTCAGCTTGAAGCGGAAAGACATAAAACATTAACAGAAGAACCAGAGATAGAAGAAGAACTTATGGAACCAGAACAAAATCTTAAAGAAAAAATGTCATTCGTGCTGAGAGAATTGAAATTAAAAACAGCTAACATAAAAACTAAATGCGATGAAACTCCAGTAAAGGAAACTTGGAAAGATATTACAACATTCCCGGCTATAGACGAAATAACAGCTGAAGAAGAAGATGGAAAAGATTTTGAAGATGATGACAAATCATATGCAGATTCCGGTTCAGGTGAAACTTCTGGTCCTGATAGTCCGGTACAAAGTGGTGATGAGTTAGATGATGATTATGATATGCCTCTTATACATCACGAACCAGCGCCTGCTCAACAACCACCACCACAACAAGATGTTTCAGTTGGTAGTAAATGGAAGCTTTTGAAGGCTCTGAAGGACAGAAAAGCAGAAGAAAAGACGACCGAGACACCTGCAGCAACGACACCTTCAACCGAAAAGGACAAAGTTAGTGCAGGTGTAAGTTACCTTATGCAAAAGTTTAGTGAAATAAGAGTTAAGAGCTAAAATTAGAAAATATAAAGTTACCTAGCAATTATTTGTAGCAAATTTAACGAAGTTACGAAAAGTTAAAATAATATTTAGACTGACATAATCAATATACCTACTGCAGAAGTTATTTATTCAGCTTGACAATTCGTTCAGAGGACGTAAACTACAAACAGACCTTGATATTAATTATCGTGTAGTTCTAGAATTAGGGTGTCTTATAATTACCGTTTTCATAGTCGTCCATTTATCAACCTTGCTATGAGATAATAATAATAGTTTTGTAAAATAACAAATTATTTGCAGTTATGTTAATTTACTGTAATGCATAGTTGCAACACATTGCAGGTTATTACGAAACTGCAAACTACGGTTGTGAATAATAAACAAGTTTAAATGCAAATACAAACTTTACACCAAGACTTGAAATTTTAGAATAGACATAATTTTACAACTTTACATCCACATTAGATTCAGAAATAACCGATTTAGTGCTTATCTAAAATCATGTCTCAGCTTATAATTCATTTATTGTTAATTATGTTTTGTAGATCTCTCAATCAATCATTTTCGAATGTTTGTAAAGTTTTATAATAAGCCTTGTTTTGTACAACCGTAGCACACAAATTTCGAACGTATATTTCAGTTTTAGTATAAACTAAAACTAATGTTCTAGAATAGGGTGCTCTTAATGAACAATATAATATTTGTGTGTTTATATTTTATAGGATTATATAAATTCCATTATTTGTGACGCTATTCCTGTTTTATTGAGGCAATAATTAGAATTTATCCGCGCAATAGGTATTAAGAACTTTCTACTATTAACGGATTTTTATATAAAGCTTGAATATTCGAGGTAATATTAAACCATTTTGAATGTTTTTTTACCTGCTTGGTAATGATAGTATTTATACCCTTGTAATACCTATTCCTTTATATAACAATGGTAATTATTCAGCAGTATTAGTATAATAATATGTCTTATTGCTTAGGCTGTTACTTAACTATGTGAACGTAGATACATGACGGGTCAGTAAAAACCGCTTTATTTCATTCATATAAATTTGTTTGGAATTAATAAAAATAAGCATCAAAAACATAAACGTACAAAATTCAATCATTGTCATATCACATAATATCATATCATAAAAATCATTCTTTCTATTGAAATGTCAGAATTGAGTAGCTCATTGTGGGCTATAGATAATAATGGTGTTCTTTATTGGATACCATTAAATAACATGAGTACAAGAACATGTTGAAATAAATACGGAAATTAAATCTATTAAATTGACTACCTAATTACTTGAGCAAGCTTTATCATGTACATAATGTCTCATTATTAATCATAAAGTATTTTATGTAGACGAAACACGGCTTAGAATATCTTATAACTATTTACACAAATAAAAGATAGCTGGCACTTACGTAACCTGTTATATTTAGTGGATGATATTAGATGTCAAATTATATAGGATAATAATTAAAATAATTTAAATGGATGCGAATCGCTTTTACTATTTATCATTACATGACACATAAAAAAAAATACGGCAATTTGAAATACAGCCTTATACATTTCTAATCATTCTTCAAATTTATTAAGAAAGATACAATGTAAATAAGTCATTTCAATCGGCGCGACTGTTCATAATAGGCCTGGTTTTATGATTTTTGACTGCTGACGCGTGCGATATGCTGTTAAAGAAAATTATTGATTCTCCATTGTTATTTAAAAAATTTAGCTCTTACGACCAAATTTTAATGAGTTCTGAAGAAAATACATGAAAGATTAGTATCAATGCATAATAGTAATATTTTATTATTGTCAAGCTCATCAAAAAGTGGTCGTGAATATTTAAATGATTGTTATTTGTTATTAATTGTTGTTGATTTAAATAATAAATGTTAGCTTTTTATTTGTTTTTATTTATTTTTATTTTAATGTTTTATTTTTTATTTTTAGAATGGCTCCGGCGGATTCAACGAGCAAGGTGGTCGTGGAAATGGGTAAGGGTAAAATTTAAACAAAAAATAATAATAGGATTTTAATCTGTAGGCATATGACTAAAAATAAAAAGCAAGTATCTAATTGTAATCAAAATGTCCATTTTATAGACATCCTGGAGACAATCCTTTCTACAGCAACATCGACAGCATGCCTGATATTCGTCCTAGAAGAAAGTCCATCCCCCTTGTCTCAGAACTTGTAAGTAGTATTTTAATGTACTCCACATTTTCGTAAATCTTTATCATTGTTAAAGTCCAATGGAAGTAAGCTATTTTTGTGGCCGGTTTCATTATCTCATGGTTATTTTATTATTACTACATTCCACATCTTTTCAACGGGGGAAAAATGGGGAATTTACGTTGCACCTACATGGAAGGTAGATTTTGAAACTGGTCGTAAATGTTTACAGCTCGCATCGACGTACGCTTCCCGAGGCTTAGTATTATTAGGCGCGTAATAAATGTTTTCTTCTGAACGGAAAATTTCTAAAATGTGTACTTTGAACGATAAAAGGAAGTTAGCTAGATTATAAACCCACCTATTGCTTTCGTCGCAATAGTTTTTATGTAATATGTGCTTAACATAGAGCAACACGGAAGGGAGTAGCCTTAGCGAAATTATTATGTCGCTATGGCATACTATTGTATCCAAATCATTCTGTAATTTTTTGCGCGGGGGATATGCATACAAACGCATTTTAACGTACACGCATATAAAACAAAACTGTAACTACGACACTCACACATAAACAATGACACAATATACCTTCAAGTCCTGCATACACACATCGTTTGTATATCTATGGAGCTTGATAACAAATTATATTTTTTTACATTATTTTATAAAAACTGCTCAAAGAAAATTACGGGTTTATTTATTAAACAAGCACCCTTCATTTATCGTTCAAATAAAATTTTACTATATATAATGGCCTATTTACAACCCTTCTTTCTTCATTGATGTTTATATGTTACCTTCAAGTTTGCGTTACCCTTCTTACTATCATTAGATGGATTAAATGCCTACTCTTAGATAGCGATCCAAATCCGAACTGTCCAAAGTGTAAGAGATTTATTAGGGGTCACCACAGCAGCAGTAGCGGATCCATAACCACAAGAATGATTCTTATTCCTGACTAAAATTAATGATATCGTTGCATTTTACCCCTCACCACGGACCCGCAGGTTCTCAAGGTATTTCTCTCCCAATAACACTCTTTTCTATGCATGCGATTTGTTGTTGTCAGTGAAGATAATTTATGAGCAATTTATCTCTTGAACTCTTTTCGCTAACTCTACGTAGTATGCTTGCGTTATGGTATATTTTTATCGATAAGGACATGGTGTTCTTTTGGCCTTTGCATGAAATGCTTCACAAAATATTTTATTTTAAAGTTTATAATAGGAGACATTCTGAACGGCTTACACAACTGCGTCGCAACTTTTATGAATGATTGAATACCTAAAAATATAAATGGCTTCAATTTGGAAACGTGCACGTGCCTGTTTTGATCCAATTTTAATTGCGAAGCTTCAATATCACAGCAAAAATTATTATTTTCACAATTATGGGATTATCCAAAGAGTTTATTTCTACAAACGTATTCTGTTTTTGTTTACACGAATTTGAGACACGTTGTGTTTGCATTTATGGTCTTCATGCACTGAAAAATTTTCTTAAATTGATTTTTGTACATTTTTATTCAGTTTGTATTCTTGTTACATTACATAAAATTAGTCGCATTAAAGACAGATAACAACTCTCACTAGAATTTACTGTTGATGAAGATATTGAATTATCCGTAGACTGATTTTTCATACACGTAGGTACTTAAAAGAATAGCTTAAAAAGCAGCTTTGAAAGCATGCGTAGAATCAAATTTAATTCAGTATTATCTTATGATCATTAAAATTTCTCTAAATATTTAAGGCACATTTCGATTTATTGGTAGTTAGGTAGGCAAAAACAAGCTTCATAGCAACATTTTGAACAAATTCTCAGAAGTATATGCTGAGCTCATCTGTTCATTCCTTTTGCATAATTAATCATTAACATGCATTCATGAATGTTTAGACAATGGCTGCAACTAAGAGGAATGCCGGACTGACATCTGCCGTTCATAGAGCAACGTTGAATGATGAAGAACTGGTAAGTGTAATTGCGACTATAAACAGGAATAAAAAAGTATAATTTTGGTAATTCATAATAGAACTGATGTAATGATACTGTATAACACTGTTTCATCGAATAGTCATACTGAAATATTACTTACAGAAAATGCATGTCTACAAGAAGACCTTGCAAGCCCTAATATACCCCATATCATCGACAACTCCCCATAATTTCGTTTTATGGACAGCGACTTCTCCAACTTACTGTTATGAGTGCGAAGGCCTTTTATGGGGCATCGCCAGGCAAGGGGTCAGGTGTACCGAATGCGGTGTCAAATGTCACGAAAAGTGCAAAGATTTGCTCAATGCCGATTGTCTACAGAGTAAGTAAATGGCAATGATAGTAACAGATATGAAAAGGATTGTAACTACTTTTTTGGATTCTAGAAACTTTACTATTGCCCAGGAATGTGGATTCAATCCTTGCAAAGCACTCTCAATAAAGTCAAAAAAATATGCAATTTCAAATTTATGTTTATTTCATACTGTGATAACTCAGATCCATTTAATATTTTACTTTTGTTAAAATAATCACGTGAAATTGTATTTTTTTATGTGTTGAAATGAACACCAAGTTTCTTTGTAAATACTACATACAGTCAACAGTTTATTGTAATGCATTAAAATAAGAAGAGACTCAAACTGGTTTTAACTCTGTAGGTAATGGTTTTCAATGCTTAAAAATGGCCTATTTTGGCATTGATATTATATTATAGTATTTTTGCTACAGAGACATTACCATTATTATTATAGTTGTATCCAATTTATGTTACTTTAGCTAACTGTCTCACGTCCCAAGCATTAAATGCTGATGACTGTTATCCACTGAAAATATACCAGTAAACAGACAAACTAATTGGAAAGTTCGTCACTTTGCCTTTTTCGTTTCAATAATAAAATATTCCGTGGAGTTTTTAGACTTGACCGAAAGCAGAGCTTGCCCCTTATTAAACTGGAGTAGAGTCAAGGAGCACTCCATGGGATACTCTTTGTCGACAAGATCTTTGTAGAAAAATACAACTGTGAATATCATGAAAAGAAGTTTTATTACATAATATACAATGTGCAACATTTCGTTGTCGTTACTTATGCCAAATATCAATAAAAAAATAAATAATAAAAGGTCATTTCATGAAATTAAACATAAAACGATTCTGGGGCCATTATTCTGCCATCTCATTTAATTGACAAAAACATTAAAGGTTTGTTACTTAGGAGTTTTTTAACGACTTCTGTGTTTTTTTATAAGAAATTAAAAAATATCATAAAAATGTTTGTATAAAGTCTACATTTGAAAAATTAAGGGTGTTCATAGTATATGCGTAACTCTTATAAACAGAAGTGCTCTAGTCACATTTTGTGTAGCACTTCGCTAGCCAAGAGCCTCTTCGTTCTTTGTGTACCTCCATGTGCTTATAAAAAATCGAAGAAAAACGTACATGATACTTTACTTCAAAAACAAAGGATTATCAGTTAGTAAAATGCTCTTTACTTTATCTTTACAAGGCTTTATAAAATCTGGGTGTCGAAATTAAATAACCTGATAATATTAATTATTTCAGTGTTATGACAAATATTCAAACTTAGGCTGCAAACCAACTTATTTTACCAAACAAAGTTACCGCAAAGTGACGTTCTTACCTGATTAAAATAAAACTTTATAATAATAATAATAATTAAGTCTAGCTTCTCACCCTGTACTCTGTTAGATTTTGCTGTCTAGATGATATCAATATCGAAAGGTAAACGTTCGGTATAAATTGTCGTTGTAGCAAGAATTTAATTTTCAATAGCTATATTTGTGCATGTGTACTTATATTTTTGCATGTGTCCGTCGTTCAAACATCAGGCGTCGAACACACTTTATTTTTAAAATAGGATCATCAATAAAATTAATAACACTAGCGGCATTGAGATAAGCCACGTGTTCTACTATAATTTTGGAAACTGTATATTTTTTAGTAATATTTATTTTATTGGTGTCGTCTCTTTCTTTATCTTGATGTTCTCTTTTTTAATTTGTTCCTTCATATTTACCTGACCTCATATAATAACCGCATGAATTTCCCTCTTCTGATTGATATTTCGTAAATTGCTTCGGTGTGCATGGCTGTCGGTTTAACAACTGATACATTATCAACATTATATTTTCAAAAAATATTATTCCTGTTAAATTATTCGGTTTTAGTACATTTGCACGATCATTTAGGTGCGCAGTCGTTAAGACAAAATAACCGCGAATTACTTCATATTTCAATTTAGTTGTCGACTGCACGCCATTCTCATTTCTGGTCTACACTTTGAAAGCAGTATTTTATAAATGGGTTAATCTTTATTATTTTACCTGTAGTATAATTTTTTTAAGCAATTTTAACTATTTAAATTATTTATTTTTATTCTATAAATTTTATATTAGTTTCCATAATGGCTTCAATTTTATCTTATGTTATCTATTTAATAACGATTTTTGTCTGCTATGATTTATATCTGCATATATTTATTAAGTTCTTGTCTAAAATCGTATCTTTAATATAGATGTTTCAAAGTGTGGACTAAGTAGATCACGTAGATAGGGATTTCGGTCTTGTCATTCGTCCATACCTTTTGGGTTGCCCCGCCCAGCGCCGATACTTGTTAAAACCCTTGTTATACTATACTTAAGTTATACTTTTCTATACCCTACTTTACATTCTACACTATCCGACACAGTTTTCTTCCAAATCGATATAGGAGCTTCAAAATGACAAACCCTTAACAAATGTAACATGAACTCTCACTTGTTTGCAAAGATGTGCCTGTAGCGGTGTGTGCACGCTATCCAGTGTCTGTCCACTTCGATATTATATGTGGTCTTTTAGTTAATATTGTTTAATATATTGTTTTATAGATTTTCACTTTCTATGTTTATTTCACTGTCTTTATGTTTCAACTAAATCCCCAACATGCAATAAAAGCTAACAATAAAAAATGCGACGTTGATTTGTAAATTACTGATAATACTTAATGAAAAGCTTTGAAACCGATGTGTTTCAGTACTAACAAACATAACTAACATACAAATACAAAGGGTATAAATATAATTTGATTGTTTTTGATACAACTCCAACGCTTTTCTGGTAGCTTATGTGTGCATGACTAATAATCTACCATGAATTTTGAGATTGGAAAGAAATCCTTAGAGCGTTGGTTTGTGTCCAGTTTGCTTTATAGGCGCCGTGCTCAAGTCCGCTCCGGCTTGCGCCGCTTGAGGTCGTCGACCTGATCAGATCTGACGATCGCTTAGTATTCGGGTCAGATCGGTTAAATGTTGGAGTCTCGTCAGGTTGTAGCCGAGAGTGGCCGTAGCGGGCTCGGGCGCGGGGCGGGCGGCCGTCCCGGCGCAATTCGCTTGTCCAAAGAACTAGTTGGCACCGCCTGAGCAGTGTGTTTCGCAGGGGCTGCTGAAAAGTCGTCTAAGCATGGCGCTGAAGACAAAGCTAACTCAATCATCACCGCTATGAAAGAAAGAATGAAGCAGCGAGAAAGGGATAAGCCAGAAATCTTTGAGCTGATCAGGTATGTAAATAAAGTAATTACTTAATACAGACAATATTTCAATAAATTTAGAAATATTTCATGCATTTGTTTAGTGCTGGTATAACATTTTATTTTAACTTTTATGAATATCTATAATGACTAACTAAAGACATAATGTAATCCTTGTCTCGACTTTTGTCTTTGCCTTTTTTAATAAATTGTTAAGATAAACAGTAGACATTTCGGATGGTGAGTTGCTTTATACTTCTTTTACACATATTTCGGTTCCGTTACAAAACAAAAAGTGCATTGTTATACATTTTGCAGCTACAGTTCAATGGTATATTGCATAAAAAGTTTATAGAACTTTACGTTTTGTGACCACTTTAGCGAATGGCAATGGTTGACACAAGTATGTGTATGTAACAGACGCGTGTTCAGCATGGAAGCAGAGCCCCATACATCACACATGAGCACCGTGAAGCAATCAGTCCTCGATGGTACCTCAAAATGGAGCGCCAAAATCGCAATAACAGGTTCGGAGATGTAATGTGCCATTAACAATACATACCCACAGGTCTCCAGAACTCAGCAGCATCGGCCGCAGTGGAAAATGCAGCACACACTCGACACTAAATTGTAACCCATCTTTCGTTTCATGTGGCGACCAGGCGAACATTTAACGTCGACCCAGATACTCACATTGACAGTCTCGAACAAGCCGAGCAAATCACTATAGAAGGAACATCGAAATGGTCTTGCAAGATCGCCATCACAGGTTTGCTGTGGTCTTTTGCGGCTACAAACCGCACGCTCGCAGTATTAACTCTATTAGACTGAATCTCTTCGCCTGTATTCTGTACTTTTTTTTGACATCTGCTAATAACTCAACTGCTGCTTTGACATAGCTTAAGGCTTGCAATGAGTCCAATGCCTTATGTTTAGCAGATTTCAAGAAAGCCACTCTATAATATAATTAACTTCAGATACTAACGTTTTTATCACGGTCGATAATGCACCGCCTCTTATCACCCCCATTGAAACGTAGTTCGAATTTCATAGACACTGTGGAAATTCCACGAATCCAACACTTACCCAGACAAAAGATCGATAAATCGAATTTAAAATACTCGCCACGCACTCGAATTTTGTATTTTGTACTCTTTTAACACCAAATGACACAAATTAACATCACGTTTAATTAATTGTGATTGCAAAACCACAACTCAGCAGCACGTCTGCTAAATTGACACAAATTGCATGAATCTCACAAAATATACATAAAATTAACATTATACATTTTCAGATTTAGGAATGGAAGACTGCTGATTATGATGCAAATTAAAGATATTGGAATGATTTAGTGATCAAAATGATTCTCTGTTGAAACCTTATTAGGATTTAGCCATCTCTTGCGTAAAATTTAGATTATCTTTAGCATGGTGAATGAAGACCCCCCAACACAAATTACTAGCCTTTCTAACTTCACCTCTCAATTCTTAGCCAAATTTCTGATTCGTGAAAATTCCAAAGCATTAAACATGATTCCCGCGCATATTTTCACATTTCTTCTTCGAAACTTTCTTCCTCGACGAAGTTTGCCTTAGAAAAGTCGGTAATGTAGGCGCTATGATGAATTTGTTTTAGAAATCAAGTTGCGGCATAGCTAAAAAGTTTTGTAGATTTGAAGCTAGTGTCTTTAACCCCAGCCCGACTGCTAACACTACACCCTGTTATAGAACATCATTTCCACGCGATGGTTTATTTAGCGATGGCAGTAAGTTGGTAAGTAGTACCAGGTAAAGAGTATTTATTTACATGTATATTGTATAAGTATCTGCTAAGTGAGCAAAATTAATTATAAAACATAAAACTACATAATACTATATAACTACGTAATGCGGTAGTAAAATATGTACTAATAGCTGCTCCATTATTGCTGTAAACCTCATTACAAATATATTATACAACATCAAATGGTATTATAGAGACGATTTCTTTAATTTTCCATGTGCGGAAATTCTCATACTAAAAATACTTTGTTTGATAATGCTGCATTACCAATCTATTTGTTGGTTTTTCCCTTTTCAACCATGTAAGCTATACAGCTTTTCCATCATTACAAATTTCAAAACATCAGCGCGAAGTTTATGCCACATTCTAAGCGACCAACCTGATAGTGTAGTTTCATTGAGCCAAAAATCTTAATAAATTTAAACGTCTCAAAAGATTCCTTGCTATTCAGTATTGAATGTTTTATTTGCATCAGGTAATATTTTTAGATGCTTAACGCGATTTACAATGTTAAAAGTTATGATTTATTTTTGACAAACAATATAATTTGGAACGCATATTTCTGAGGCATTTAGCAGAAATAAGTTTGTCAAGGCTAACTAAATTGCATTGAGACTTATCATTGAAACGGTTGTTCTGGTTATATTTTTACGTAGAGCAGTCTACTGGTTGCACCTTTTTATGGAAACTCTTTTCATTGATAAGAAAATGAAACTATATATTTATAAGAAGAAAGCCATATTTACTAAAATAATTATTGAAATAATTTCTTTCTGTACAGTCATCTGCGCTCAAGGTCTGATCGCGAAAGACAAAAGTGGAACTTCAGACCCTTATGTCACAGTCCAAGTCAGCAAAGTGAAGAAAAGGACGAGAACTATGCCACAAGAATTGAACCCAGTATGGAACGAAAAATTTTACTTGTAAGTCTCCAGTGAATTCGAATTAAACGACGGTTAAAGGTTTATGGGATCCTTGTGGTCTGAAAACAACAATCACTTAAGGTATTATTCTGACTAGGTCTACTTAAGCCTTGGACAGTTTCCAAAAATGGTCTGACATTATTCCATAATAGCAACCTACTGAGGACGTTTTAGGGCTCCAAAATGTACCAAGTAATGTACTGGACTGGTGGTACAATTACCGTAGAATTATAACATAGTCATTGATTAATGAACCGGAAATAGATAAAGAAAATACTAATAATTCGCAGCATTTAGTTCCGACCATTATCAAACTTAAATGATATCGGACGCTGTATTAATTATGTTTATTATATTTTAATTTGTTTTTCTCTTTTTCACATTTATAGTCTAAGAATGCCATCAATTTTTGACAGCTTCTGATAAGGTTCACTATCATGGCGAAGACTTCCAGCTTATATATTTTCTTTTTGATGTTAATATTAAGCATTGAATAAACTAGGTAAACTAAAATAAGCTTTTAGCAGATTATTACGGTACCTTTTGTTACCTTTATCTGGGTGCGTGGTGAGGCGAATATCCAACGAATTTCTGTTTGTTCCCAGTGAATGTCACAATTCCTCAGACCGTATCAAGGTGCGTGTGTGGGACGAAGATAACGACCTCAAATCAAAACTCCGACAGAAACTAACGAGGGAATCTGACGATTTCTTAGGACAAACAATTATTGAGGTGAGCCTGAAAATTTTTAGAAAGTAAATTGTGAAAATGTGTCGATTTCGTTGATTCCGCCTTTTGAGATCCTGAATGGTGGAAACACTACGTGTAATTTTTGGGATCAAAATTTTTTATTTTATATTTTTTATTTTAACAAGGTGACAAGCAAGCATATGGTCCGCCTGATGGCGGCGGCAACGACAGGCTATAGACGCTTGAAATCTTAAAGTGTAGCAATTAAAGTACGGACTGTGCTTTTCTTTACTCATGTGAAATTATGATGCATAGAAACGTAAAAGAGAAAAACACACATCATCCAAACCATAACGATCTACCAATTTCTAACTCCAATGAAATCTGAGTTGCATTGTTATAGAATAGAAAGTTATAGAAAATATTTTAACATTTCGCACGAAATAAATAATGTAATAGTTTAAAGTAAACTTTTTCTACTGACAGGTGCGGACATTATCAGGCGAAATGGACGTGTGGTACAACCTGGAGAAGAGGACAGACAAATCAGCAGTGTCGGGGGCCATCAGACTGCACATAAACGTAGAGATCAAGGGAGAGGAGAAAGTGGCGCCATACCATGTGCAGGTTAGTGAAATTATGTAAGGTCTGCAACTTGAAGACCAGAATTTCTTGCGTGTGATCTTGATAGTACACTAGATAGAGTCGCCACTCGCCGTCTATCCAAGAGCTTGAAAACAAACGATTTATGCCCGCCAACTTTTTCAACAGAATGTATATCTTCGGACGGCTAGTCCGCCAGTTTAATTAGACAAGATGTTAAAAATATTTTTTTCATATAAATGTCTCATTATAAAAGCACGAATACAATTCTTATTCAAATCTTTAAGAATTTAAATTAGGTCAGTTGCACAAAGTCCTCAGTAGTTATGAGTGATTTATTTAATAAAAAGTAATTAATGACCACAGCCAAAACCGTATCTTTGCTTAAAAAAAATATCTGTTTCTTTTGCTAGGGATAGAATATTGGGGAGAACTGTAAATCTTTGCAACTTTCTCCTTAGCAAAATTGACTCTTTCCTTACATTCAGTTTCGACCAATTCCATTCATTTTCCGGCTTGTTATAGCAACAGGTTCAACATATTGGCGGCATCCTTGGCTGCCTGCCAGAGTTTATACAGTAATGTTTCACGCGCATTATCATCATTGCAACTGCATTTAAAAGAAAAAAGTGGATTTTATTAATAATAAAAAAAACGTTGGGCAGTTGGTATACATTAGAAGATTTTATTATTTTGTCTGCATCAGAGAAATGTACTATCTTAATCAACCTTCAGTATAGGATGAAATTTCTGCGTTCTAAAAAATTGAACAACATAGTGTTCTAAACGACCTTCTTCTAAACATCCATCAATAAATGAAGACCCGGGTCCAAATCTGAACTGGATCAATGAAAATAACTTTTCTGTATTCATGTCTGGTTGATTTAAGGGGGACCTTTAGTTACTTGCCTTCGAAGATTGTATGAGCGCTAGGTAGAGATGTAAATACATATCTGCTATATTTTTATAAAGAACAAATGAAAATGATTAATGTTATTTTATCTGTTAATAATATGTTCAACTTTGACAGCTAATTGCAAATCGCCGGTCAAAAACAATGCAATGTACAATGCAATGCATAAATGTGCGCGTAATTTTACACTAAGTTTAAGAACGGTAAAACAATTATTTTCAAGTTTGAACGGGCAATTAGGAGTTCGAGGGGTTTTTAAACGATCTACATCATCCAATCGCGCCACACTTACGCGCACCGCGGGCGAGAAACATAATTCTCGTTCGAACTGGCAAATTTACGCAAACCCGAGCCGTAAAACTTCACCGGGCGATTCTCGCACGAATCGTTCTTTTATTGCCCAATTCGAATTAAGGTAATCGTTCATAAGCGATTCGTTCGGACGACCGACGATGTCGGGATCGATTCATTCTAGAACAATCGGGTGTACTTTGTTCCGGCGGCGGCGCTATGTCCAGATGCGGGACTAAATGGGACAAGTTCCCAGAATAAATGTGAAAAGTTTTCCGTCCTTACTAAGCGGAACTGTCACCTAATGCGAAAGTATAATTTCTTGCCCACATTCACCGTTGGACGAGTTTCAGTACATTGTTATGTTCATTTACAATGAACTATGGCAGCTGTAATTTTGGTGCGTTGTGGTGGAACTTCGGAAAAGGAGTTTTACTCAAAAATGGTTTCGTTAATTTACAGCAGTTGCAGGTTTACAGTTGTTTCGAGTTAGATTATTAATTAAAGTGAAAAGTTTTTATTGTTTATGATGAATTGAATGACATTTTTAATATCTTCCTGGAGGTTTTTGAAATTTTTATTTGATTTCCTAGAGAACATTTTTTTATATTGATAATTCAACAGAATATTTCATTGTAATTATTATGAACATTTTCACAAACAAACTATGAATTTTATTATGATGAACATTTCCGTTAAAATTATTCGAAAATAACATTTTATCAGAGAGAACGGTGGGCAAGGAAGTCACTTAGTCCATTAATCAGCAAAAATTTGAAAATGACCGTTTTTCTCATCAGCTATGGTTGGCACGTAAATTGAACAGTTGCCACCCTGGTAAGTTAAAAAGAGTGCATATTGCATTATCATACGACATATTCGGTTGAAATAGTAGCTTAGAGACTTTTGTTATACAGGCTGTTCAGTGCACTGCGCGCAAGATATTACTAAAACGTCTACAAGATTTTACTTAAACAGCAGACAAAATAAAGAAATAAAAGAAAACGGATACGTGCTGTTCACATGCGATAGAAGTGAAACCGTACCAAAAATAAATAATGGCTTTAAAAAAAACTATTAAAAAAAATATCAGGATCAGGATCGAACCACTGATCATTTGGTGTCGACTCCAAGACCATTAGCGTTCAGCTATCTTTCTCTTGCAAAGAGTTACAAATTTACGGATACCTTGTGTCGCTTATTCATTTCATCGCTTTTTCGTTTCATCGAGTTTCAAATCACAACGGTACTAAAGAAGTTTTCACTTCAAAAAATGTGCTTACACAAGGCTGTACTTGTACGTTGCGTTTACTTATAAGGCAGTATTTTATTAAGCGTGCGATATATCTATTTTCTTAGATTGAGTCAATATTTCCTTTTTCCTAAAATTTACATGAGTTAAACCGCAAGACACAGCTAGTTTCTTATAAACGGAATACTGCGGTTAAAATGGGACATCAATTTGACAGCAAAGCGGCCGGGACTGTTCGCAAAATGACTGCCAATTTCCCCCCCGTCCAAATTAAAATGTATATTTATTCAATACGTTTGAAACAATTTCAGATGAATATGAAAGTCAATATTTATGCATCCCGATTCAAATGAACGAGTGCCACATTATATTTAAAAAGTTATACCGCAAAAAGTTTTATTGGAAAGCCCAGTTCGTTGTTGGAACCTTCGGAACACACACTTCAGCTTGCAAGCTTGTTTTAATTTAATTCACATTTTTTTTTCTAATTCTGCCACAGGGAAGGCAAAAGATGCGTACTATGCATTCATACAAACGAATTTTTAAGATTTTTTTTTTATTTGTGTTTCAATTGATTTCGACCCTTTTATTTTATTATTGATTCATTGCATTCATTCTTCCAGTCGGAACCAAATATGTCAGTTGTCTCGACAAGGTCCAGTATTATTTATTCATATTCACTAAGCAAACTCATGTCCACTCGAAGGATTAAAATAAATAACTTAAATAAAGATAAAAGCTTCACTTCTATTTTAAAAAAAGTAGTACCTTTACTTACTTAAGAACGAATTTGTGAATATGCATAATGTCTAACTCACCGAACTTTAAGAATCACGCTACAAAACTGCGAAGTCTTTTTTCGATTAGAACTTTGTGAATCGGATCAGAGAAAAAACTCGTATGCTTAATTTACTATTAAAACCTTTTCGTTCACATCAAAGCTTTTCAGTTTTTTTAAGTAAGTCGGCACAGCTTGGTATAGAAAACAGATCTTGCTTATTATAAACTAGCGGCCCTCCCTCGCTTCGGTGTAGAGCTGAAGTGTAGACTACAATTTTTGATCTCAGGCTTGTACTATACACAATGACATTCATCTATGATACTTTTTATACCTGCATGCAAAGTCTCAGCCCGATCGGTTTGAAATTGACAAAGTTTCGTACAACCTTACATTCCCTACTTTATTCCCTTGGGGGTAGATTGATCAAAATCCTTTCTTAGCGGATGCCTATGTCATAACATCTACCTGCATGCCAAATTTCAGCCCGATCCGTCCAGTGGTTTGGGCTGTGGGTTGATAGATCACTATGTCAGTCAGTCACCTTTGAGTTTTATATATATAAATGTATTAAAAGATATATGTACTTACAGCTGAAGTACAATTTTACTGTGTTATCATAAGTTTTGTACACCTATAATAATTATGGATTTTTTTCCAATTACATTCCTATAATAATATTGGAGTTCAATAAGGAGGAGGCTCTAATTTGTCAGTATATTTTGGATATCGGAGAAAGTTAGTTTAAGCATAATCGCTCCTATTCGTGTTGAAAGGTCCAACAGCTATAATTTACACATCAATATTTTCTAGTACATTTGGGACACACGAAAATACGAACTAGACTGCTAAATACAATTACTGAGCCGGTAACGAAATTCTCATTAACCAAATAGAAATGTAGCAGAGAGGGTGTGTATCCAATTTCATGGTTTGGATTTTTATTGAGCAAAACGACCGATAACATCGCTTTAGGTCTTCAGGTGATTCGTCTCTCCTGCCATACTATAACTGATTATAATGTTATATTGTTCCAAAAAAAATAAAAATATCATTAAGATTTTGTTTATTGTTTTTACCTAACAGAAATCGAAAACGGAATGAGACAATTGTACTTTTTACAATTTGAAATATAGGGCTTTTATAATATGACGAATACAGACATGTCGTACCTGAGTGATGGCTGTATAAACATATATCTTTATACAATAATAAATAAATAATAATAATAAATTAATTAATAGTTCCAACACTCACACCAATTAGCCTAGCCCCAAAGTAAGCACTGTAGGCTTGTGTTATGGGATACTAGGGTAATGGATAGAATACATATACTGATACAGATATAAGTAATATTTATATAGAAATACATATTAAACATCCATGGCTGGATTAAAATGGCCGTATTCATCACACAAACATTTGCCCACACCAGGATTGGAACCCGGAACCTCTTCAGTAAGCGACCTTGAAACCTGAGCCTGAATACCTCGTACTAATAATAATCATTCGGCCACGTCAAAATAAAATTATGTGATTTCAGCCATGATGAAAAGGTTGATAACCTTACAGTGTTTACTTGAGGGCTAGGCGTGAGTCTGCGATCGACAATTCTGTGCGAGTGTAAGAAATATTTAATTACTAGCGGCCGCTCGCGACTTCGCCCGCGTGGTGGTATTTTTTGAGAATCCCACAGAAACCTAAAATTTTTACGGGATAAAAGTATTCTATGTTTCAACCCAAGCTATAGGTAAACTATAAGCGTACCGAATTTTATCCTTATCCGTTCA